TTGAACTCAGGACCTTTGGTAGAGCAGGCAATGCTCTTAACCTCTGAGCCATCTCTCCAGCCCCCACAGTATGGCTTTTATTCAGCCATGAATTGGATTACATTATCTGTATTGATGTGACTGGAATTTCCGAATCACACAGCAACCATGTATATTCTGATCTGCAGAAAACCCTTGGGAAGCGGGCAGACATTCATAGTAGTTAGCAGCTGCGGCCAAATTGGGAAACTGAGGCTCAGTATCTTTGCAAAGGTGAAAGACCAGACTGTGGGACTCAAACTCCTAGAAGGAAGTGTACCTTCCTCTTCCTGTTCTCTGTGCATCTCAGAAACCAGAGAATGGAACTGGCAGCCAGGACAAGAAGCTCAGGGAAGCAGGCTTTGGGATAGGCCTCTCTCACCTTGATGCTCTCATTGATGCGGCCCACTATCCAGTCGAAGAGGCGGCTGTAGACATTCTTAGCCAGGGCATCCCGAGCATACTGAGCCTGGGGTGTGGGGCAGTCTCATTAATGTGGCAGCCACAGGACAGCCTCAAAAGTCAGGGCCTTCAAGAGGGCTCTTACCTGCATGACATTCAGAACTGTAACCACCTTTTCTTTGGCTGTCTCCATGGTTCTTGAACACAAAGCTCTCTCTAGTTCCACCGAATTCAAACCCATCAACTCCCCAATCTCCCGAACCCCTAGAAAGACAAAGAAATACGAGGTGGTGGCGAGGGATCTCAGTGGGGGGAAGGACCTGGGTGACTTCAGCTGGGTAAGTCACTGCAGTTGGCAGGAGAACCTCCCGAAACAGGTCAGATTGTCCCTGTATATCAGAAGATTCGGCTAAGGCTCTGAGAGTCACAGACCAAAGCTTGAACATTTCCAGAGGCTCATCCCCAAGTGCTTCAGGAGAACGGTTCAGGAAGTCCCTTTGGGGGCACCTAGGGGTGGCTGGGTGCAAGCGTACCAGGTGAAGTCAATCACCAATCACGTTGGAGGTGGAACAAAAACTAGCTTCAGGGTAGGGGACTCAGAGCAGGCTCCAGCAGGGTGGTACCAACCTTTCCCATCAGAGACGCCACTTGCTGGTATCCCATTGGCCTGGAACTCGTCGGTCAGCTTCACGTTTCCCAGCTTCAGCACCAGCGCTGTCACCTCCAGGACTTGTCTGATCTCATCCTCTGAGAACCCAATCACTGACATGGCACTCTTGGGAAGAGAGTAGGAAGTGAACTGAAGGAACGGGACCAATCCAATGACTCCCTTCACAAACTGAATGGACGGGCCAGGAGGTGGTGGCACACGCCTTTAATCCCAGCACTCGGGAGGCAGAGGCAGGCGGATCTCTGTGAGTTTGAGACCAGCCTGGTCTACAAGAGCTAGTTCCAGGACAGGATCCAAAACCACAGAGAAACCCTGTTTCAAAAAAC